AACGTTAAATAAGAGTACTCCACAGCGACTCTAGGGGTCGCCGTTTGACAAAAACGGGATTCCTGCCTGGTGTCCCTTTAAAAGAACCTTTGTTTCTTGTATTGTTTTCCTACATTAAAACACACAAAAAATATATATAAAAACAAAACAGTAATAATAAAAATAACAATAATTATCTATTTATTTGTTTTATTTGTCTATTTATTTATCAATTAAATGTAAATGTTTTAAAATCATTTCTTTAATTTAGTGATTTTCTTTAATTTAGTTAAATTAAATATAATTTTATGTTAATTTTAATATATATATGCTAACATAAATGTTAGGAGACATTTTCATAATCTATTTTGATTTATTTATTATTTGTACTGATTATTGAGTGGTTTAAATTTGCATGTCTACATATATATATATATATATGTGTATATATATATAGACAGATACAAGATATACAGACTTACAATTATTACAAAATGTGTATATGTAATATTAAATGTGTATTATTGTATTATAAAATGCAAATGTGGAAAAGCAACAGTGTTTCTGCGGGTCTTAAAAAGGTCTTAAATCCAATACAAATATCTAAACAATAAATCAAGATATATTTACTTGAGGTGTAAACATAAAAATTAAGTCTTGGAAAACTAATTAAAATTAAGTGAGTTTATAACAAGAACAAGATCAAATGTTACTTGTTTGGTTTTAAAAATGTATCTTTATAAAAGCTGCAGAAACCAGATTATTAAATACCATGGAAGTATTGTTGATTTGTTAGTTCATGTACTAATGCAGTTAACTAATGGGATTTGTGTTTCAACATTGGAATTTTGGGTAATTATTTTGGCCTTACAAGACCGTGTTGGTCTTTCTGTGTCTTCGTCCTTTAGGGTTGTGACTCTGAGATCTCCTCCATGGTAACAGAGGCCCAGAGGAAGGTTGCTGATTGTATGAACGTGGCTCTCAAAACTATCGGTTTGCTGGCGGCAATGAATGGGACTGATCTTCATTTGTCTGAACTTGGTTCGGAGGACATAAACAATGTGGGTAGATTCGCTCATATTTTGCACTTGCTGACGTTTACTTAGGAAGGGTTTGACCAGTTTTTAATTGCTCTTTCTCTTTAGAGGTCAGTTGTGGATTCGTTGCAGGATGGGATGCTTCAAAGCGTGACAGATCTTCTCTTCATGGGTCAGAAAATCTCTTCTGAGATGGTTCAAGACACTCAGATGATTCGCGCTGGATCACCGGTAAGTTCTCTTAATAAATATTTCACTTAAAGGTGAATTGGGTAATATTTAGGAGAATTTGTTGCACAGAAATGCAATAAATATATATATATATATAACTATGTTTTTAGTGGTATATAAAGACCTTACATAATGAACCGTTATGTTTGTACCTTAGAATGAGCCATTTCTATCTAAATACACTGTCCCCTTACATTGAAATAGCCGAATTTTGAGCCGACGTGTTTCTACAGTAGCCCTAAACGGACAAATGTTACTATGTTGTTCTTCATGCAAAGTAGCTAGCTAAAGTCAGCGAATGAAACACTGTCACAATGATGAACAAGTAACAATAATATTCGCAATAACATATTGTTGTATTGAATAATCAAGTAAACCTGGCTACTCTCTGCTCTACGACGTCCTTTCCACCATAGCTTCTGTTGGTTGCAATTCGCAACCTCACCAGTAGATGCTGTTAAAAATTACACGGTGCACCTTTAACAAATAACATGGAATATTATATTATTATATAACTCAAGAAATAACCTTACAATGAAATCTTGATGGATCCAAATAATAGTGTAAATACATTTAAATGTTTTATATGAACTGATTTAAATATACGCTTTAGCACCATTTTATAATCTTTGTTGATTTTTATGTTTTACAGATTCAGCAGTCTGCAATATATGATGTCGCCCACTCTCTGAAAAGCTACTTCGACTGCTGTTTGTCGGTACGCCTTACAAACAGCTGTTTTTGTCATTGAGGTTAAATGTTTTGGATTGATGACTACCCCAACAATGAATGAGGGGGACAGTGCTTGTAAAACGTCGAACCTGAGCGGTCTTATCACACGTCTTGGGTCGTTTTGCTGTTTAGAAAATAAATGGGTTGAGTAAAGCGTCATCTGTCACCTTAATGAGGCTGTAACTGTTATCTTCAATACACAAACTACAGGCTCGATGTTTTTGTTCAACAAGAGAATGGGATGCTGGGATAAGGAAAAATGGATCCATCTCCCATTTCCTTAAACCCGCCCACCGTTGCTAAACCATGTGGGCTAAAACCAATAAGAGACCCAGTAATATATTCATTTGAAAAAATAAAACGTTAATTAAAAAAATAAATGTTTTATTATATATATATATATATATATATATATATAAAATAAATGTTTTATTTTTTTTAAACTGGGTCAGTAATATATATACATAAAAAACATTTATTTATATATATATATTTATATACATATAAATGTTTTTATATATATTACGGAGTCTCTTATTTGTACAAAAAACAAATATTGTACATCAAACAAAAAACAAATCCTTATTTTATTTGTTTGAGTTCCTGCTTTGGTTATTTGTTATTAGGTTTTATCATTTGTTTATCATTATCATTTATTTTTATTTAGGTTTTATATTATTTTTCAGTTTTAGTTTTTATTTGTTTTTATCTTGATTTTTTTGAAGTTTGTTTGGTTTCTGTTTTCATTTATTTAGTTTTTGGTTTACAGTTTTTAATGATTGTTTTTTATGGTGGGGGGGTTGTTTTGGGTTTGGTTTTTGTTTAGTTGAGTTTTTAGTGTGGTCTTTATTTTTTGTTTTAATTTTTAATTTGTTTTTTTGGGAGGTTTGTTTGGTTTTATTTGGTGGGGTTTTTGTTTGGTTGTAGTAATGTTTCTTTCTTGGATGTTGTTTGAGTTTTTTGTTTAGTTTTGTTTTTGGGATGTTTGTTTGGTTTGGTTTAGTTTTGTTTGGATTTTTGTTTGCTTTGGATTTCATGTTTAAGAGCTGTTTGTTCACATCTGCTTTTTCACAGGAGAGGTCAGGTTCCACTGAGAATCGTTCAGAGGAAGATGAAGGATCAGACTCGTGTGATGTTCATAGCACCACCGTTAAACTCCTCAAGCTGAACAAGGCGATCAAAGACCTCCACTCGTCTCTGTCGCGGTATCTGAGAGGTAAGGCATTCTTTCCACAATAACATGCATATTAAATGCACACGTTAACTTATGACAAATATGTGATATGACTTAATTTTATTAATGTGTAATACAGGGAGTGGCGATGCTGGCCTTAGTCAATCTATACTGTCTTCATCCAAGACGATTGATGATGTCATCAATGGCCTTCAGTGCGAAATGGACGGAAGACGTTCCGGCAGTCTTCAGCTTCCGTGTGTGAAGAACGTCATGGTTGCCCGTGATAAAGTGCACTCTGCGCTGCAGGCTTTGCCTGAGGTGTTTGATAAATGCACAGACGGAACGCAGAGGCTGGACACAGATAGAAACTTTGTTACTCAATGGTATCTAAATGGCAACTCAAGTCGGACCGTGCCTAAAATTGTGTATTCTCTTTCCTCTGGTATTAGCACATGTTCCAGAGATGCCCGCTGGGTGTGATTTGGATTTAAGGGGTACTAGTCATGAATATAACCACATTGGCTATAATGGTTACTGCTAAAATTGGCTCACTTTTCATTTTGATGTATTTGTATGCACTCATTCAGGCCTACCAAAATTGTATTTAATTGTAGGATTTTAATGAAGGGCTTAATAGTATAACTTAAAAAGATGGGTTTCTGTGTATTTTGCAAGTGATCAAGCACATAAGTCTTTTATAAATTGTGCACTTCTGGATATATTTTTGCACTATATTTTTCACAATTTCATTCCCGTATTTTTTTAGCATTTGTAGCAGCATTTACTTTGGATCATGTAATTGTTTCACACTAATTTATACTCTCATTAATAAACACTCACTGGGCTAAGAAGTCTGGTGTCCTATTTAAACATACATTATGTCCCCACAAAGATGGCAATATATGAAATCCTTTTCCTTGTGGGGAAATGTTTTGGTCCCCATGAGGAAAACAATGGTGATGGAGTTTGTTTTTGTTGTTGAAAATCCTAAAATGCAGAGAGTTTTCTATGAAGGGTAAGGTTAGTGTAAGTGAATAGAATATCGGTTTGTACAGTAAAAAAAAAAATGTGTTTGTGGAAAGTTCCCATAAAATATGAAAGAATGTGTGTGAATTCCTGTGTGAAACTTTCCGTGGTATGACATGTTTTACTTAATCTTTTATCTGAAGTATGTTTACATTCAAGGGGCCAAAAAATATTTTTTATTTAAAAGAAGTTACATAAAAATAGTAGGCTATAACTTAAATAAAATGCTAAATATCAAGCTAGTAAAAAGCGTAAAATGAAGTTATTTTCCTCAATTTAATTTGTCCCCACTGTTGTGGACAAATATTGATTTTTAAAATGTTCTTTACAACGTAAATGTCTTTATAACAGACGACAAAATGGCTCCATTCGCATAGTAAAACACAATTCTATTTAGACCTCACAAACTCGAAACATGTCCATCGTGAGGGGAGTGACGTGAATTACTCTCTCCTCTTCGAGCGGGAGGCGCGCGCTGCTTCTCATCATGATCTCACACAGGAGTTCCTCACAGCACATTCAACGGAAAGCGCATGCGAACTGTTTGCTAAACTTTACTTTTCGAGGTAAATATGACTTACGACTAAAACTTTACCTCATATCAGGTAATGTACAGTTTTATTCTGTTTGAGGCTTTTAAATGTCACATGTCATATATCATTACGTTTCTGCTAGAGCTGACCTTAAATTTTCCCTGTAGAACATTTTAGTTTAAAATGTTTAAAACTGTCAAATTAAAAAAAAAAGTGTTTCATTTTATTGTTAATTAGTACGTTTCTGAGCTGTTAAAATGTTAATGAGTGTTTTGTTTGCAGGATGAATCTTTTAAAAATTCTTTGCTCCAACATTATTGTAAGTAGTCCATATTTCCTAATACAATATACGTTTGACAATATACTGTTATGAGTAAGAAAACTATATAACTATACAATTCATATAAAAATAATGCTTATTGAATTTAATTAATATATAATTACAAACCTTTTTTCAAGGTACTCATTCAGCACTGCATGGAAAAAGGTAACCACAGCATTCATATGGTCCTCAAAGTTTAAAGTTAAATGTAATATGCTTAACATTTAGATATAGGCTCATCGGATGACTGATTTCTGTTAGAATCGTCTTACTAAGATGTTAGAATGAAAGCTTCAATCTGTTACTAACAGAGTATAAAGGATAGTTTAAGATCACATGGACATAATTACAATCTGTTCATAGTTTGTTACACAGAAAGTGTCAAATGCATAAGATTTTAAGCAAAACATCCCTGTGTTTACAGTGGAGAGCAAAACCCCGCTTACACATGAGGACTTCTACCCCGAGTACGTGCCAGATCGCCAGCCATGGCTGAGTGCCCGCAATCTCTGCCTCCAGCGTTCAGGGACCCTAGCGGTGGTGTCCAGTACCAAAGCGATTAAAAAGCTGAACACTTTTCTACGGTCCCTGAATATCACCCAACCTGTATGGATAGAAAGTTCAGCCATGTTCCAGAAAACTGGTGCGTGCCATATCCTATGTTTACCCAAATGCATGTATCTTTCTTCAATAAATATAGCATGTTGTTTTCTAAAACATTTCTAGGTCCTCCAGATATATACACGCTGGAATTTCCAGTGCGGCCACACCGGAAATCGGCTCGTCTCCGCCATAAGTTCCCAAACATGGAAGCGCTAACGGTTTGCGCTCACCTCCAGCTTGATCCAACTTGCCACGGACTTTCCACAGTCTTCTCATACGCCATAAAGTCATTCATTAAAGAATTCCAACTCCAAGCACGAATCTCAGGGAATGAACCCGTCCAGCTCGCATTGCTGGTGCATGGTTCAAACACCACCTACGTAGCAGGCTTTCCCAATGATGCCTCCTGGCACTTTGTATGTGCAAGCTTTGTTGCGAATAGTGGAAAGTGGGGCATCTGGGTGGATGGAACGGTGGTGGGTTCTGGGAATTTTCTCAACTCATTGAATTTCGTCGGAGGAGATGGCCTTTTTATGATTGGACAAGACCAGGAGACCTATGGGGGCTACAACAGTGGCAAGGCGCTTTGTGGGAACGTTACGCAGCTGTACATGTGGGATCGTTTGTTGGTCGACAGTGAAATCCAAACCATGGAAAAAGTTTGTTCACCCGTCCCTTCTGGCTTGTTCTTCAAATGGAATGAGTCCGCATTGGAAATCGAGACGTCGCTACAGACACGCAGAAGGAACTCGCCTTGTCAAGGTAGAGATGGTGGAGGTGGTATTGCGCCCTCAAATCTTTGAGTTATAATTTCCACTCTTCCACCTATGCGAAATTGCGAATACAGCCAAGTTGTGATTGGAAACCTCAGGCTGAGATGGTTGTAAATATTTCATCCATGCGGTAATGCTAAGACCCACCCTTCGGATCATAGGCTACACTTCCCATCACATGAGCCATGGACCCAGAGTTCCCTATTCTTTTCTGAAGAGAGGACATATGGTCCTTTCAGACTTGGAGAGCTCAAGAACTATGACTCATGCTGACTTCTTAAATTGGCAGACTAGAAGCAAACTTAGCTTGCTGGCTGTTCGGCAGCCTCAGAGTTGCTCAAAAAGATCAATTTTCTGCTAAACTATATTTGGTTCTTGTTTCTTTTAGGTTCCACAAGCCAACCACCAGACCAACTTATCTCTGGCTTGCCTCACAATTTTTCCATCCTCATGTCTAACAAGGCCTGTGTAACCTTTGACCCTGCAAGTGGGATGCCGATTAATGACTCATGTTTGACGCACAGAGGAAGTGTTTGCCTGTTCCCAAAAGGTGATCACCTGCTTTCAAGTAATCTCCATCTCCATCAGAGACAGTTGGAAAAATAGTTTGTGATTTCATCAGATCTCATTCATTTCATTAGAGTGCATGCACAACATATCCCATTAATGGACGAATGAGTCCTATGAACCTTAAGTTACAGTTAAAATCAGACTGAATCGTTCATAAAAATGGCTCACTGAACTGCAAATCATTTTTCTGTTTTGTCCTGTTGAACACTAACCATGAACCATTATTGTGATGCATAGTGTTGTGAGGCTTACATCTGTTTGTTCATTCACTGGTTGCTCATAAGAACATTTGTAAGTTAAGATTCATTATAACAATATGTTGTATTAAGTGCCAGTGATTTCCTAGGTTTTTTTTGCAATGCAATTTCTTGTGCGTTTTCAGCATGTGTGAAAATAATCCATTTTTCCCCCCTTCTTTATTTCAGAGCAGCTGGACTTCTTAGGTTTTCCTGGGACGTCGTTCTTCTCACAAGTCAGCAATGAGTTTCATTCCAAATCTGTGAGTTAGAGCTCAAGGCTGATTTTTGTTAGATTCACTATAAACCTCCAGATTTCATGGAGAAATGGCTTCTTAGCTTTGTAAACCCATTTCCTCCTTATTTTTAACTAGAGCCCGGCCGATAAAGGATTTTGAAGGCCGATACGATACAAATATTTGTTCGTTTTAAAATCCGATATTCCGATATATCGGCCGATATTCTATTTATTTATTCAGAAACCTGCAACAAAACATTAACAGATTTCCCATTCATTATTTGTAGTTATTTATGAGTTTTAACTAAAATAAAATGATAATGCATTTTAAAAAGGAACTTGTTTCTTTTGTCACAACAGAACAGACTGATGATAGTGGCATTAGCTAGCTTTGTGGTTAGCTAGTCTATGATGAGCCATAATTTAGCAATGGATTACGTCATACTACAAATTGTAAAACATACATTTTCAATATAACAGGCCTAGGAGAGATGATGCGTCTCATTGCAATAACTGTCACGCAGTATTAAAGAAATACTTAAGTCACATTGTTAAAAGTTAAAAGGACAGTCAGTCAACTACACTGTAACAGCTTAATGTAACTATTACTAGCTAATTCCGCTTCACTCTCGGCTTATTTAACAGCAGCACAACTGGACATGATAGTCACAAATTTTGTCATGCTTATTTGAGTTAAGAGAACTGATGGGGGTGTTCTTTTAATTGTTATTCAAGCAATGTATGTCTCGTGACCAACTCAACGAGTGTTGCCAACAGGGATGGTGTAGAGTGCCCTCTGGTGGACAAACTATACAACTCCAACACTCATGACATGGTTCAAGCTTGTTTCGTCCATTTTTATTTTATTTTTGAAATATTTATTTATCGGCCATTATAACTACCGATAGTTTGGAAAATGCCTAATATCGGCCGATAATATCGGTCTGCCGATAAATCGCTCTGGCTCTACTTGACACAAATTTCACGATTTCAATTCATTTTTTTGAAATATTCATTTATTGGCCAACATAACTGCCGATACCGATAGTTTTGGAAAATACCTAATATCGGCCGATAATATCGGCCTGCCGATAAATCGGTCTGGCTCTATTTTTAACCTATCCTTAAATTTTATTTGCCTCAAGTCACTATTGACACATAGACATATAAAATGCAACTTGATAGTGCATTATCCTTTCTCCACAGAATACAAATGTAACCTTGTTCTCTGCGAACGAATTGACCCGTCATATTTCCCTCTTGAGTGCCATATTGAGAATTATGGACAGCAATGCAGACATTATTACACGTTCTGATCTCCTGTACCTCATCGAAACCATCGAGAAGGCCGCTCAACTCAAAAAAATAGCTGTCCCCACTGAAGTCTTCATATTCATGGTCCGCAATTGCTTGGAACTAGTTAGCAGACTCATCGACCCTGATATGGCTGAACAATGGGAGAATTTGAGAGATCACGAGGTAGGTTCTTCTGGAGCCAAATCCTCTAAAAAAAAAAAAAAAAGTGGATGGTAACTCTTATATCAGGTTTATGAGTATGTTTCCTCTATTATCTCAGAATTACCTCGGACCATTGACAATGGTAGAGAACATTGACAAGCTGCTGTGGACATTGGCGGATGAGCTTTGGGCAGAGCGCAAAAGCTTCACAGTGTCAACAAAGAACATGGGTAAAGTGTTTTTTTTTTGCCTCATTTAGACTTGGTAGCATAATCTTAGACCTCTGACAAATAGAAGTCAATATTTGTTTTCTTGAGAGGTGGAGTAATAAAGATAACCCTCTCTTGTCTGTTATCGTATTCATGCAGTTATTAATATTTAGCCATGGCTACTTTGGTTGTCCCTCCATAAAAAATGCATGAGTGTTTGTTAGAGTCAAGAGACTTTTGCTTCCTTAGATATTCATCTGGAGCCGCGAGGGCTGGCGCAGATGAGCTGCGGTCATGTGTTCAAGCCCTCGATTCACGGCGGTCAGTTCAGCGGCCATGATGAGATCCTCATATCAGAGTCAGAAATGCAGAGAGTCTTCTCATTGGGTGAGAATAGGGTAAATTGCTTATTTATAAAGATAACTGTTGTGATACAAGCCAGTTTTAAAGATCTTTATCTTCTAATATTATTTGACAGGCCACAAGGATGTCATGCTTATTTATACCTACTACAGTAACCTGGTAGAGAAGTCGTTCAGAGTGGACGTCAAAACACCCGCTGACCAACAGACCAATGGCAAGAGGTTAGCAACAGCCTCCTGAAATCTCTCCACACCAAATTTAATTGAAATCTTTTAAATATAAATTGCTAATAAATCAGGGTTTTTCCTGCGTCAAAAATGTTTTCTGGTGGCGGTGTAACCCCCTTTTCTGGTTCATTCTTTCGACCCTCCCGGAAAGGACCACACGGAGACAGAGTCGAGACGATTCAACATCCATCAAGTGTTTACTGGAGATATGTGAAATAACACCATACAGACTTGAAATACAGCTCATCCGGTCACATAACATTCTCCTCAACAGCTCGCATAAACTCTTTCATTAATTCAACAAACAATAAATCACGTTTTTATCGCAATTAAAAGCTCAGTTTCTTTTCTTTCTTTTCTCTAAACAAAGAAAACAGTACATCATACCTGGAGATATGTGAAATAACACCATACAGACTTGAAATACAGCTCATCCGGTCACATAACTGTCAAAAATAAATATAAAGTAAATCACATGTGCTTAAAAGAGAAACAAAGTCATCACTGACAACTTTTATTTCTGTTTGACCGGAGAGAGATTTTCCACCTACCATTCTCCTCAACAGCTCGCATAAACTGAAGAGAAAATGGCGGATAGCACTAATAGGTACTCGCCTGTAGGTGTCCCCATCCCCTTTTCTTAGATGCACTTGGTACATTATAGAACATGAACAAACATTTTGGCATAATTCATTACAAATTTCTTTTATCCGTTACATTCTCCCCCACTGAATTTGCCAAAATGGAACAAAAAAACAAAACAACCAAAATCGGTTTACTCTTTTCTTTACCTTTTTCCTTCTGAAAACAGACATAAACCAGAATTGCCATACTTAGCACATTGCTTTTGATCAGTTACAACTGTTCATATAAAGAACTGACAGGAAAAAGTGCTGCGCATATCACTTTTCCTTGATCATGACCCAAATGAAATGCCTTTTACATTTCACTTTTGCAATTCCTATTCACACACAAATGAACACAATACATTGAAGTTAACGCTTCATTATTTCAGACTAAGGACCGAAACAGACCATTTACCCAGGATTTGCTTTCTAATGTGAAACAAAGTGTGCTGATTCATTGAAGAGATAAGACGATTCACTGGTTTCAACAATCTGCCAAACTTTGACCTACGACCCTGTAACGTATCAGCAGTACCAGGGTTAGGATCATGGGCACTACTGTTTTCAGGACTGTCCTGTAAGGCCTGGCAGTCTGGAGCATCATTTCCAAGAACCACTCTTTGCGATGGAACATCAACAACTTCAGCTGAGTCGTGATCACTGCATGACTCGGTTATCTGCGGATCACCGTTAGCCGCAACTGAGCCTTCATCTTCAGGCATCGAATCGTCAGAAGATACAGAACAATTATCAGATGCACCATCCTCTACAGAAAATACACTCTCATCATCATTTTTTTCCACAATGTCACACAAAGGGAGGAAATTCACACACAAAAGGAGGTTTCTGTGTACCACCTTCAACTGACCAGATACAGGGTGCTTAACTTTGAAAATGTGAGTGTTAGGATCACAATCAACCACAGTATATACCACATTTTCCCACTTGTCTGACAGTTTGCGCTTTCCACGTTCACTTTTGTTGGCTAATAGGACCCTGTCGCCAACTTCAATTCTCACTCCCTTATTTTTGCGGTTGTACATGTGGGCTTGATGAGACTGTTCTTTTGATGTGTTAGCTTCCGCTACAGTAAGAGCATCCTTCAAATCCCTCCTCAGAGACTCTACATACTTGGGAAGAGAGTTACTAGAGTCATCCCACAGCACATTCTTGAAAACAACATCAATTGGCAGTCGTGGGGTACGGCCAAACATTAGGTAGAAGGGAGGAAACCCCGTAGTCTCGTGCACAGTGCAGTTGTACACAAATGTTAATGTATGGAGCATTCGAGGCCAATCTTGCTTTTGGCGTGGTTCAAGGGCTCTGATCATATTTCCTAACGTCCGATTAAATCTTTCTGTTATTCCGTTGCCCATCGGATGATATGGTGTTGTGCGTGACTTCTTGACACCAGAAAACTCAAGCAAATGACTAATGAGCTCACTACAGAAATTCGCCCCCTGATCAGAATGAATGCGTTCCGGGAAACCATAGTAACAAAAATAGTTGTCCCAGAGCTGCTTTGCCACCGACTTAGCTGACTGGTCTGGACAACGAAAAGCATGGGCCAGCTTGGTAAAATGGTCTGTTACCACTAAAACATCAACTGACCTATTCTGACAATCCTCTGCCGTCCAAAAATCAATGCAGACTAACTCAAGAGGAGCAGAAGTCCTGACACTCTCCAATAGAGCTCGACCCTCCGGCTCTGGTGTCTTCGCCAGAACACAACGACCGCATACTTTCACATAGTCACGAGTATCACGTTCCATGTCAGTCCAGTAGAAACGTTGACGAGACAGTTGGAAAGTGCGATACTGGCCTTGGTGTCCAGCCTCATCGTGACATCCTCTCATCACGTCACCTTTCAGGGAAGAAGGTACCACGAACTGAAATCTTCTGTGACGTGTCAAGGGATCTTTTGAAACGCGATACAAGACACCATCGTTCAGTAACAACTTCTCCCACTGTTTCATAAACTTTCGTACAGCGCTGGGGTCCCCCATGCGCTCACGTCTCGAAGGCCTGCGTTTTCGGTCAACGTAGTACATCACTCTCTGCAAATGTTCATCCTCAATCTGTTTCTTTCTCAACTCCTGGCGTGAGTAAGAAGGAAGGGCATCAAACCCAACATCTGCGATTTGTTGGACAATTTCAGTCAGAGGAGTGGCCCATGTTCGTGCGTTATCGTCCCAAGAAAGGTGATTAGAAAAGATAGCAGACACTTCGGCACTCGAAAAGCTCCCTGGCACGTCATCTGGATTGACACCTGACTGCTCACAAATGCCCGCTGGGCTCTTTGTCCTGTCAACCACTTGCTGACTGGCGCTGGACAACCGGAAAACATCCTGTACAGCAGCACTGGTATGATCTCTTGACTCCGCTAACAATACATCATAGGGTTCTCTTACTAAGCGGTGACTAACATGACCGTCAGCAAAAGGTTGCCTGCTCAAGGCGTCAGCTATTAAGTTCTTTGGTCCGGGAACATATTTGATGTCAAACTCAAAGGCAGCGAGTTTAGCCACCCATCTTTGTTCACAGGCGTCAAGCCTAGGTTTGGTCAAAATATGCGTCAGAGGATTGTTATCGGTCCAGGCTGTGAACTGATGTCCTTTTAGCCAGTGGCTAAATTTATCGCATACAGCCCACTTGAGGGCAAGGAATTCAAGGCGGTGTGCTGGATATCTGGATTGCGCTCGGGACAGTGACTTACTCGCAAATGCAATGGGTCGAGCCCTGCTTTCTCCAGGACTCAGTTGCGAGAGCACGGCCCCCAATCCCTCAGACGAAGCGTCAGTGGCAAGAATAAAAGGTCTGGAAAAGTCAGGATGGGCAAGGACAACATTGGACAAGAGGGCTTCCTTTAATGCAGTCAAAGCCGCTTCACAAGCTGGAGACCATTCATCACTGGTGAGTTTTCTGGACGCTGGGATCCCTCTGCGGCCAACACCTCTAGTTTTCTTAACTCCGCTAGTTAGGGCAAAAAGCGGCCGTGCAATTGAAGAACAATTCTCGATGAAGCGTTGGTACCACATAACGAGACCAAGAAAAGATTGGATTTTCTTAACCGACGGGGTGACACCATCTGGGCACATCAAATCCGCAGAAGTAATTTTAGTAATCGCTTCAACTTTTCCGGGGTCCGTAGACACGCCTTCTTCTGAAATCAAATGACCGAGGAATTTCACAGAGCGTCTTAAGAAGTGGCATTTCTTCGGCGACAATTTCAAATTGTGCTTCTTCAGCATTTCAAAAACAGTTTGAAGTCTCTGCAATGCAACTTCTTCATTAGGCGCGAAGACCATTAAATCATCCAGGTAGCATAACAGTGACAAAAAATTCTGTTCACCAAAGATCTTAGTCATCATGCGCATAAAGCTTGCGGGTGAGTTACAGAGGCCTTGTGGGAGCCTATTGTATTCATGTAGCCCAACTGGTGTTGTGAACGCTGTATATTTTTTGTCGTCCTCATGTAACGGGATATTATAAAATCCTGAGGTTAAATCCATTGTGCTAAACAACGAGTTGCCACCTAATGCTGCAAGACAGTCTTCTTGATGGGGTAGGGGGTGCGCGTCTTTCACGGTTCGCGCATTAAGCCAGCGAAAATCAGTACATATGCGAAGATCGCCATCTTTTTTCCAGCACAGAACCAGAGGTGATGCGAATTCGCTGACTGACTTACGGATTATACCTCTCTCCTCCATCTCGTTCAAAGCAACACGTAACTTCTGGTATTGTGAAGGGGGGACTCGTCTATATGGTAAGCGAAAGGGCCTTTCGTCGAACAGATGGATTCTGTGTACAAAGTCCTTGACTTCACCGCAATCAAGAGAATGTCTGGAAAAGATAGACTCATACTCGAGCAGTAAGTCACACAGTTTCGCCTTCCACAATTTAGAAACTTCACAATTTTCCAAATCAACAGTCTCCAATCCACACTTTCGCAGCCTGTCGGCCAATGTATCAGACTTGTCCGACTCAGCAACTGACTGCTGAATGCTTGAACGAATTGGAAGCTCAGGCTTAGTTTCGCACACATCCTCCAATGCAATACAGGGGTAAACGTCAGCCACTTTGGCGTTTCGCCTCACCGTTACTGGCTTGTCGCTAGGGTTGATCAGCTTAAGGGGAATCCAGCCGTCGCCCCAAAGTGGAGTGACAATACGACACACTAGAACATTCTTGGGGGCAGAACGGAGTCTAGATGGTTCCACCATGACGGTGCTGCCCGGTTGGCTACAGGACTTACTGGGTAGTTTACCCCAGACAAGATGCTCTTGGCCAGGCGAAAGTGTAACTGCATGTTGTAGTTTAACTGTACCAACAACGTCAGGAATCGTTCCGCCCTTCCATCGACATACACCAGCCATCATAGACAAGAACTCGTCGCTTTCAAGGTTAGTTTCGCTGGGCGTAGAAATCAATTCCCAATATCTGTCAGAATCTTTCAGCCTGTGAACAAGATGTTTGATAACGTTTGTCCCCAAAATGAGATCATCTCCTTGGCCTGGAACAACGAGACATGGAACAATAAGGTTACAGCCGTAAACGTCCAGCTTAAGCTCAAGCGTGCACTTTGGAAATACTCGTTTGCCACCGCACCCAACTAAGACGATGTTAGTATCTTCTTCATTAACATTATCCAAAGCACCACGTTCTCTCAGTTTACTGACGACTGAATCATTTAATGTACAGGCCATAGAGCCGGTGTCCAGCATTGCACTCACGGTGATAGAATCATTAATACAAACAGGTGTGTAGAAGAGCGTATCTGAGCATTCAAGGCGTTGTATATTTTGAAAGACGACTTTCTGGGAATCAGGACATATGTTCTTAAAGGAACTGAACAAAGCTTCGAAATCAGTATCTGCTCCGAGGGAATTTTCAAGGTCACCCACACCCCCCCTCTCCGGATGTGAGCGTGTCAGTTTCCCTGACTATTAGGCGCTGTTGGTGCAGAGGCTGAATTTGGGAATTTAGCAGTGCAGTCACGTTTTGAGTGGCCGGCGCCATGACATCTAAAACACAAATGATCAGATCTGCAGTGATCGAAAGTAGTATGCGTTGTGTCGCCACAAATCTTACAGTTCCTTGGTTCAGCTGCGTTCCTTCTGTGCAATCTCCCAGAAGACATAAACTCAGGTCTACTCTTCTCCTTTGTCTTCAACACCTCGATCAACTGAGCTAGCATGTCAGCCATCCGATTCAGACTAGATTGATCCTTCACGTCCTCCTTAGATTCACCAGGCCCGTTGGTCCCCTGCTTCAGACACATTAATGCAGACTCCGAGACAACATTAGAATTTCCACAGCTCTGTGTGGTCATTTGTGCATTATGGCAGACTGGGTAGGCGTTTGGGTTCGGTCTTAGTTTAAGCTCACGTTGGAAACTGTCTAAAAGCTCCTGAACATCTTTCGCAGTCCAGCATTCTAGTGGCCGCACTTTAAAAGTGCGTGCTAAATCAGGGTCTGGGCAGTTTCTCACAAACATCATTGCAACTTCAGAATTCAAATTGTCCATTCTTCTGCCCTGCCCCCTGAGACACTCGTCAGCTATATCCGCTGCCTTATTAAGGCGAAGCCAGTAGTCAAAAGGATTCTCGCCTTGTTTAGGCAATGTACTGTAAAAGTCCGCGAGTGGCATACTAGAGTAGGAGACTTCACTGAAATGTTGCTTAAGTATACTGTAAATAATCTCAGGATGATTTGTGCAGTCAAGAGCAGGGTTGCTGCGTAGGGCTACTTTCACAATGTCCTTGGCCCTGCCCATTAGATGACTAATAATCTCATTAGCCTGATCAGTAATTTTGACATTTCTCTTTCGCAGGTAGACTTGCATCATATCAATCCATTCTTGAATGTCACATCTGCCCAAACCATCCCCCCTAAACACTGGCGGGTCTTTTTCATCTGATTTCAGAATGACATTCAACTGTGACAAATCAAGATTAGCACATTGAGAGCCTGTGTTGTTATTACCATTATTGGCTCTGGTAAAATCACCCCCTGACAAAAGTTTGGCTGTTACTGAGTCACCGATCTGTCTGCCCAACTCTTTGACTAAATCTCCTAATTCGCTGATATCTCGATCACTAGAACTTCCCACAATCTGTGGCTTTGGGGTAGAAGTAACAGGGAAAGTTTTGTTTACATCATGAGCTCTGTAATTTCCCTTAGTACCATCAGGAATGTTAGTCTTATAGCCAAATTCACCCGAACCCGGCTTGGTGTCAGAAAACTGCATCAGGTATTTACCCCGTCCAGTACCAAAAAAAGAATTGTCTGCACCACCCTCAGCCATTTTTACAATTGTAAAATACTCTGAATTTTCTAAAAGCTAAAATCAAAAGTCAGATTAATCAACCAAAAATGTTTTTTTTTTTTTTTTTTTTTAAACACTTCACTTATCTGCAGTCCAATGTCATTTATCTTTCTGTTCGAAAGTCCCTCGAAGAGAAGAAGAGAGAGAAAAAAAAAAAAGTCTTTAACCGGAGAATCTGGCAACCACAGTCCACCTGATCAGATTGCGCGCGCGCGCGACGTCCTCGCTGCACTCCGCGGTAGGCCTTGTTGTCGTCCTTCCGGAGATCGGCTGCTTTGCGTGGATCACAAACGGGAATCACGGCACCATTGTAACCCCCTTTTCTGGTTCATTCTTTCGACCCTCCCGGAAAGGACCACACGGAGACAGAGTCGAGACGATTCAACATCCATCAAGTGTTTACTGGAGATATGTGAAATAACACCATACAGACTTGAAATACAGCTCATCCGGTCACATAACATTCTCCTCAACAGCTCGCATAAACTCTTTCATTAATTCAACAAACAATAAATCACGTTTTTATCGCAATTAAAAGCTCAGTTTCTTTTCTTTCTTTTCTCTAAACAAAGAAAACAGTACATCATACCTGGAGATATGTGAAATAACACCATACAGACTTGAAATACAGCTCATCCGGTCACATAACTGTCAAAAATAAATATAAAGTAAATCACATGTGCTTAAAAGAGAAACAAAGTCATCACTGACAACTTTTATTTCTGTTTGACCGGAGAGAGATTTTCCACCTACCATTCTCCTCAACAGCTCGCATAAACTGAAGAGAAAATGGCGGATAGCACTAATAGGTACTCGCCTGTAGGTGTCCCCATCCCCTTTTCTTAGATGCACTTGGTACATTATAGAACATGAACAAACATTTTGGCATAATTCATTACAAATTTCTTTTATCCGTTACAGCGGCACACAGTAAAAAGTACCCTACAGTTTGAAATATTAACTTAATTGTATAATCATTGTCATGTCAGAGCATAAAGATCATGTTCTTAGAACTATTTCATATATAAAAATTAGTAAATTTAAATGTAAAAACAGGTTACTGAGTGAACAACAATGTAATACATTACATAGAAGTGCATTTAGCATTATAGTGCAAATATCATTTGACATACCGTATCTGATTGTTTTGTTCTGTCCATTGCTATGGTTATCACTGTCAGTTGTCTTTAATCACACATTTAAATTTGATTTTCAATCCAGAAACTTTGCAATGTGTCATCAGCAGCATTAAAAATGTATGTTATATACAGAAATTGAGCAAAGATCGCCATTATAATCACTGAAGCTGTCAATTACAACGCAAGGTAAAGCTGCACTCTTGTGAAAATTCCTATTAAGCTGGGAAACGTTTACATGTTATATTAAGTCGATTAGATGTTTTGAGCCAATTCTGATAAATTTAAACATCTCTGATTGGCTATTGCATTCACACGCTCAACAGATATGTCTGTGATTGGCTATATTGCTCAAAGCTGCAAAAACACATAAATAGAAACCTTTAATGCTCTTCGTTGAGCGCTTACACACACCCACTGGAGTGTTTTAAAGCAGATACTGAAAAACGGCTCTCAGTGGGTAACAATATTGCAGAAAAGCAAGTATCGTCAAATTAAATGATCAAATAAATCTTTGGCGGGACAACATACTATTTTCAATGCAAGAAAAACCCTGGTAACTCTGTTCCTGTATTTTTAAGGGATCATACTGGTCAGCTGGACACGGCAGTAATCTCAGCGACAGTGCGAGATGTGCAGAAGGCAGAAAATGTTCCTGTGTCCGTCCAATACTCTCTATCTTCTGGAATTACGGTAAAAAAAAAAACACTTATTTGCTGTTTTAGTTAAGTTAATATCTTCGAATAACCTAGGCTTAAGATAAAAGACAAAACACAACAAAATTACTAAAATACAACAGGAAATATTAAAATAAAACTATAATAACGTATCAATGATACTAAAATAATAATAATGCTCTGACATTCTTCCCTTTATTTAAATTTTATATTTTTCCTTTAGGCAGAATACCCCAAGCAAGTGACGCCCGTCTGTGTTTTTTGGAATATCGAATTCATGTAAGTGAATGAAATCATGTTTTAAAACTACTTAACTGGTGTTTTGTCATATTACAGTCTCTTGTTTGGGTCTGATTTAGTGTCTCATGTCCTAAGGGTGGGACGTACAAGTGCTTGGTCCAATAAAGGGTGCAGAGTGTTGCCTTCTCCTCCTGATGTCACATCCTGCTTTTGCAACCACACCACCAATTTTGCTGTCCTTATGAATTATATGGAGCCAGGGGTATGTTTAGAGTACACACACAAGCACACAATAAACATGTTACAATGTTTAGTGCAATTTCTGGTAAGGTTTTTATTATTGCTTGACACTAGTGCCCGACCGATAAACGATTTTGAAGGCCGATACCGATAGAAATGTTTGTTGGTTTTAAAATCCGATATTCCGATATATCGGCCGATATTTTTTTAATATTTTTACCAGAAACGCGCAACAAAACATTAACAGATTTCCTTTGTTAGAACTTGTTTCTTTTATTGTCACAACAGAACAGAGGAACATCAAAATATATTAAAGTTCTTATAATAATTAGTCCCTAAATTGCCTTATAAGCTACCTGCAACCTGGATCAGCAGGATGTGTGGAGCGTTATACACGACTGTTCCCAACAGGGACGGTGTAGAGTGCCTTCTGGTGGACAAACTATACAACACCAACACTCATGACATGGTTGAAGCTTGTTTCGTCCGTTTTTATTTTATTTTTGAAATATTCATTTATTGGCCATTATAACTACCGATAATTTGGAAAATGCCTAATATCATATAATAATATAAATCGGTCTGCCGATAAATCGGTCTGGCTCTACTTGACACAAATTTCACGATTTCAATTCAATTTTTGTGATTTGATTTCGATAAATATTAGGTACACAAGATTTTTCTCAAGGAAAAAAACCTCACCTAATGCTGTAAACGTACAGAGAGCTCTATCAGCTGGTAATATTAATTAAGGTTAAAAACAGCTCAAATTCAATATATTGCGTTTTTTATTATAATAACAACTTTATTTATTGAAATAAGTAAAAATATAATAAATATGTAATATAGTAAAATACTCGCTCTTTTTTTCTAGCCAACTAATGTGCTATATATTATGGTCATTAAATGGCTTTTCTGAGGTAAATGTTATGTGACATAATTTTTCTCCAGCTGTTTTATTGACGGTTGAGAAACACTGATTGATCGATATTATGTATGAGGAATATAGGCCTACATTTCGGTAAGTTGTACTGTATCTTTCAACATTGTTCATTCGTGATTATTTACTGATTGTAACTGAGGCGCTAATCTGTCACGTCACATCTACAAGATCCAAAACAGCATTTATTGTTTGAATTTCATATTAGAATTGACAGAATCTGAGAGCTGAATTTTTTTTTGATATCAAAAGTAACTTTTATTGTCAATTGCGTGAGAGTCGGCAGCCCTGCAGTGGCCTTGTTAGAAGATGATCAATAAAATTCACTTCACCTGTCACTGTTTATATCCCTTTAAGTCTGAAAAGTGTTTTAAAAAGCCATTTTAAAATGATCATTAATCATTATAAAGATAATGTCTTCACTGATCATATTTTATGTTACACCGCAATCTGTCCAGTAGAGGTCACTGTAAGCTTACAAAATCAAGCAAGCCTTAATAGTAGCTAGCCTTGGTGATTTTGTATTCACAATTATGTGAGAAGTTCCGCTATATGAGCAAATATTGTCTCTCATTGATGTACATTGATGTACTACATAACCATCCAGTGCAATAAGAGTCATCAAACCCTCATTTATATACACACACACATGGTAGTTAACCAGACAGTTAGAATGAGACCTAGACAGAGTGTGAGAAATGTAAGATCGTTGTGTTTTGATGGGTCTTTTCCCTGCAGTGGAGTGCCAAAGAGGAGAGCATTTTGACGAAGCTGACATTTATCGGATCCGGAGCCTCTCTCTGCGCACTGGTGGTGACCTTGATGCTGTTTACCGTGTTAGAGTAAGTGGTTTTCACGGATGCACTACCGCAAAAGCATATTCCCATCCCATGATGTTGCTCTGGCATCATTTGATTCACTATCTTATCTTTATGACGACTGACTTCCTGTGTTGAGTTCATAAAGGTCATGACGTAGCATAACATTTACTCATTTGATCACAGTCTGTGAGCTCACAGTCCTCGCGCTCGTCAATAGCGCTCAGTCGTGAGACTGAACACGTATTGAAAACCACTAATCGGCTAATTAGCGATCTGTGCCAAATGAGCTCGAAGCCGAAGTTTTATGGTGACATTACAGGGGAGTTAATTAAAGGAAAGGGTCACACAAAGGGAGGTTAATCAGCGCAGTATCAGCCAAGAGATTTATGGCCTGTTTGCCACTTGTCAACACACACTCTTCATCTGTTTTTACCGAAATAAACGCAATCTTGCTTGATTTTTGTTCTATTTCATAACCATTTGCCATTAAATGTGTTTGTTCTTTTTAACAGCATCCCGAAATCTGACCGCACATCAGTCCACAAGAATCTTTTTGTGTCTCTGACTTGTGCTCAAATTGTCCTTCTCTGCAGTGGTTCCGCGGTTCACAATAAGGTACAATGTTTTTCACTCTTTCATTTGGTTGCACAACTTTTGAAACTATTGTTGGTTTTCAAAATCGATTTTAATAGAATGACTAATTACCAACCAATCAATAGTTCTGTCTCAACAATGTGCTAAGTTGCTAAATCGTTAATACAATCATTATGGAGCATATTACACAGATTACAACACTGTAAAAAATATTTTCAAGATTTGTTATCACAACATATTTTCTTTTGTCAAATCAACTTTATATTCATTTATTTAGTTGAGATAACCTATTATTTTGAGTTTCTGATGGTTAAATTAATCTACTTCATTGTATTAACTCACTTTTTCCAGTTCAATCAACTTAAAATTTTAAGGCAACCCGGGTTACTTACTTTTTTAAGTTAAACCAACAATATTTTTTTTACAGTGTAGTAATCACAACATTTTTTCTTTTGTCAAATCAACTTAAATAATTTATTTAGTTCAGATAACATATAATTTTGAGTTTCTGATGGTTAAATTAATCTCCTTCATTGTATTAACTCACTATTTCCAGTTCAATGAACTTAAAATTTTAAGGCAACCAGGTTACTTAATTTTTAAGTTAAACCATCAATATTTTTTTGCAGTGAAGCAATATTATTAATTCAATTTAACAAACTAGAATTGAGTAATAATTATTCAAATTAATTCCTTAAAAGTAAACCATTTAAAATGAGTAAAACTTACAAAAAAACTTACATTTGTTAACATAAGAGTTCTTAATTAATCTTTGACGTCTGTCTGTTATTCAGATCATTTTGTTTAATTGTTTGGTGCAAACTTTACTCATTTTAAATGTTTTTACTCAATTATTACTAAATTCTATTTTTTTTTTTCAATTTAATTAATAATATTGTTTAGGCTAGTACAGTATTTATTAATATTTTGAATTAGCGTTTTTATATTTTCAATTTTGATTAAAGTATTAGTAATGTTGTAGTATGCTTATCATTTTTATTAATATTATTTAAAATATTTTTGTATAGTATAGTTTTAGTAATTCAATTATTTTACTTCATAAACTTGTTTATTTTTTATTTATTTTTGTAATCTAATATGCATTTAATATTTACCTTTATTTCAATTACCTAAAATGTTTTTAATATTTCTATTTACAATAAAAACATTGCTATGCAGAATTATAGAATCATTTTAGTTCTTTTAAAAATAGTAATATAAATGTATTAATATTCTATGTATTTACCACACAAGGTCATGTGTTAGGGTTTTTACTTTGTTTTGAGATGCTTTGCATAGTGTCTAACACTGTAAAATCACATCCGCAAGTGGCTTATTGCTTTTTTAAATGTTAGTTGGGATCAATATACAGAATTTTTAGTCAATTTTTAAAGTCTTTCTATCAATTGCAAAATCATACCAGCAGTCTGATGCCTTAAAACAAATTTAGTGTTGTTGCCATATCTGGCATTGCGTAAACTGGCGTGCAGTCATGTTTGTGTGGATGTTTGACCTTTTGACCCTTGACTGCCTGCTCTCTGACCTCTGCCCCTTAGGTGGCCTGCACGCTTGTGGCGGCTCTGATGCATTTGTTCTTCTTGGCAGCGTTCAGCTGGATGCTGGTTGAGGGCCTGCTGCTCTGGAGCAAAGTAGTGAGCGTTAATTTGAGCGAGGACCGCCACATGAAATACTACTACCTGATTGGCTGGGGTAATAATGGCTATCCGCCCCTCCGATCTCCTCTTCGATCTGTTGTGGATAGGCACACTTATTGATTGGGTTCAAGAGTACAGGAATTCTGGTTTTGTACTTTATTGTTCCACTGAGTATCTGTATAATTTTCTTTTTACAGTACGTTTTTTCCCTTCTTTCTTAGAAAAGGGTTACTACCATGTCTACACTATATATTAAGAGCGCAAGCATCATTTTCAAGACATGCATTTCATTAAAAAAGTAATTGGTTGAAAGTAATTGTGATATTATTTTTTTGTTTACAGAAGTCGTCCAAATGCTTTTTGTCCCACTCAGACACCTGTAATATAGAAATGTCTGTGCTTGAACAGGTCTGCCCGTGCTGATCGTTACCATCACGCTGGCCTCTGCCTCTGGGAACTATTCAGCCGATGGCCACTGCTGGCTCAGTGTTCAGAACGGAGTCATATGGGGCTTTGCCGGCCCAGTCATCTTCATTGTTATGGTGTGTCTCTACATCTATTATTATTGTTATATATTTTATATAAAAGAATAATATAAAAATACACATACGTATGGCATATTTTTGTTATGTATGGTATTTTTTATATAATAATAATAATACACAAATATATAAAATGTTATTTTTTTTCATTTTTTTATATATAGTGGTCAACATTTCAAAACCTTTCATCAAAGTTATACATGCATTTTGAACAATACCCATTCTTTTCTTTGCTGTATATGCACATATTGTATTATAATTTTACAATATGTAATATTTATAATTGTTATATTACTTTTTTATTATATAATACATAATAAGCAAATACGATTATAATGTTTGTTTATATATATATATATATATATATATATATATATATAACAAAAAATGTATATATTTTGTATATATATATAACAACACGAATATATAAAATGTGTTCTTTACATATTTATTATCTATTATAATTTTACAATATGTACTAATATTTATACATTTTATATTACAGTATATTCTTATTGTAATAGTATTTGTTTATTATATATTTTAATGTTTATACTTTTCTATTATATGCTTATATATGCATAAAATATATGCATATAACAATAATAAAATGACAAACTCACAAACATGACTATATACAATAATTTTTTATATGTGCACTTGCGTATATATGCATATATTGAATATTTATTATGATATGATGTATGCTTAGTACAAATTATAATATTTATGTTTAATATATATTTTATTATTTGAATAATTATGTTATATTTACACATTAAAATGTTCCATTTGGTGTATGTGCGTATTAGGTGAATATCATGATTCTGACCCGTGTGGTCCTGATCACCATCGCCACAGCCAAGAGAAGATCACTGATGATGAACAACAGCCCGGAAGAGCAAGTCTCTGAGCAGATAAGGTGGGACACCTCTCTCCCTCTCCTATTCAGGTACGGGACAGGGAAGGATTCGCATCAGCTCATTCTTCGGTGCTCTATTATTATACGTTTTATATTGTCTAAAGAATCGCCACATGGAGGCACCCTTTCACAGCTGTCCTCGTGAACTGAGGTCCTGTCTGCTTTTGGAGTCTGACTGACCCTCAGTCGTGTTGGCTTCCTATTAAAATGATCTATTTGCACATTACAGCCTCTTTCAACATCAAATGTTTTGTTTGTTTTTTGGTCCATTAATGGAACGATTCGAACTTGTTTTGCAAAGATCACGTTATATTTTTAAAAACAGGCCTTTATACTGATACTCATGTTGGTTTATAGATTCAGCTTCTCCTTGAGACCATAAATAACCATAACGCAAATTAAGCTGCCACATGCACCCAGCGTTTGGACGGGCCTGGACCTCCGGCATCAGTCGTTGAGGTGGGGCCCTCAGAAGGCCCCTGTGTGTAAAAAATATCAATGCGACTCTTGAAAGCCCGTGGTCAAATACAGCGTTCTCCAAGGAAAATCAAACACACGCTTCCTCCGCTTGGCAGGACCTGTTCGGACAGCAGCTGGTTCGCTTTAGCGGTTACCTGAATAGGGAGGTAATTTTATACTAAACAGAATTAAAAGCGATTTAGCGTGGAAATTGTCACAATGTGAGAATAAGCAGCAGCTCCCGTTGTGCAGGGAATGACCCCTGAAATCTGTCTCCAATGTAAAACCAAAGAGGAGAGTGTGTGTGTGTGATTATAAATAAAACAATGTGTTTTCCATATCAGATCTTCCTGCTCTGATTTTGTGTGCTTTTTTTTTGTGTGTTTTAGGGCGGCAGTGAAATCCATACTGGTTCTGTTGCCGATCCTGGGCCTGACCTGGCTCTGTGGAGTCCTGGTGCCGTTCTCCGTGGTTATCGCGTACATCTTCAGCCTCCTGAACTCACTGCAGGTAAGAGTGTTTCTCAACGCTGAAGTCTGCGGCACGTGAACGCTGTTGGGTTGCGTTAGCGCTGAAGCCCACAGTGGTTTTAGCTGAGGTAAACAGAGGGGAGTGAAGAGATAATTGCTGTTTAACATGGAGACGGCACAGACTGAGAGCATCTGTGTGTGTGTGTGTGTGGCTGGAGTAGAATTAAGTTTTATTCAGACTTCTGGTAAACGCAGCCGTTTCTTTGAGACTTTATTCTCGGCTTTTCTGCGTCCGTGCGTTCCTGAAAATCTGTAATGGTAGTTGCCGGCCAGGTCTTTCTGTGTTCCAGTGTTTCTCTTTTAGAGACTCAGAATCTGGGTGAAATTATTTTTGGCGGAAGACAAAGGAATCCAAACAGATCCTCTGTTACTTCCTTTTCCCGTTAAATCATTATAAATGGCCAGTGAAATTCTTCCTAAAGCTGCTTTATTACAGCCAAACAACACTTTTTTTGTGTGTGTTTGATTCTGGGAAATTGATTTGGTCATTTTCTTGATTATTTTATGTATTTTTAAGTGTGTGTTTGTGTGTTGTCTTTTCTCATTAATATTCTGCTGTCTTCTGGAAAGCATGTACAGTAGCTTTCAAAACACAAAACAGTATGTTTTTATTTATAACGTGATTAACACTTTTGAGATCAGCAAAAATAATTTTCAGAAATGTATATTAGTTTTTAAATATACATTTTTTTTAATTATTCTTTAAAATATTCATATTTTAAAAAATAATTTTTCAAAATATATTTTTTTAAATATTCATGTTTTAAAAAATGAATATTTTTATAAAATATTCATTTTATTATATATAGTAAAAATGAATATTTTATAAAACCTTTTTAGACATTGTACTCATATGTTTTATATATATATAAAATGAGTACATTGTCTAAAAGGTGCAAAATATAAATACACAGATTATTGCATTAATTTAAATCTATATTTTTGTCTTTGTCTATTATTTTTAATATTTTGCTTTTTCGAGGAAAATCTGTACAGTGGTTTTCAAAGCACAAAGCAGTGTACTTTTATTTATTTTTTATTTCTTAAATATTTTTGATATTACATTTTTTAATATCACTCTGTGATTGATTAGCACTTTTGAAATTGACAATTTTTTTTAGTACTGCCTTTAGTCAAAATAATCTCACACTGGTACATTCAGTGTTGACAGCTTTGTTTAAGTGTCGAACAGAATATTTCGATCAAAGAAAGAAAAGTGTGTCATTCTTTCTGCGTTACAAGCCTGTGAATCCCGAATCCTGTGTTTGCGGTCTGTAGAGCCCCTTAATCAGTTGTTTCTGTAATAGAGCTGTATATATCACAAGAAATCAATAGAGATTTAGCCTGACTCGCATCATTAAACCACAGAGAGCTGAGGCTCTGTACGATACTAAACTTTTGTCTTTGAAGGTCCTACGGTAAAATGTGTTTTTTAGATGTCGATGTTGTTTTCATATTGTAATCATACATTGGTCAATGGCATTAATAGTTTTTCCATACGGATTCCTCTCAAACAGGCTATTCATGAATTTCAATGGCAGTTCTAACCTTTTTTTTTTAACCTAATTCAAACATTGTAAATTACAAGCATACATGATGCAGTGTGGATGTACACTGTAAAAAAATATTGTTGGTTTAACTTAAAAAAATAATTAACCTGGTTGCCTTAAAATTTTAAGTTGATTGAACTGGAAAAAGTGAGTTAATACAATGAAGGAGATTGATTTAATCATCAGAAACTCAAAATAATAAGTTATCTCAACTAAATAAAATTATTTAAGTTGATTTGACAAAAGTAAAAATGTTGTGATAACAAATCTTGAAAATATTTTTTTTTACAGTGAAGGTTCCTGTAATAAGTTATAAAGTTAATACAACAAATAAAAAAGTTAATACAACAAAGGAGATTGGATTAATAAATAGAAACTCAAAATATCATGTTATCTGAAGTCGATTTGACAAAACATAAAAAGTTATGATAACAAATCATGAAACTGCTATTAAATAGCCTCATAGAAATGTAGTATAAGTTTGATTTTACATATCAAAACTCAATCCTGCTCCTGCCGATCGACTTTCTTGCACAGTTCATCTCCAACCATAATCAACCAATTAAGGTCTTCAGGGTCACTTGAAAATTAAAGTCAGGTGTGTTTGATTAAGGTTGGAGATGAGCTGTTCAAGACAGTCGATCGGCAGGAGCAAGCTCTAATGTCACTACCAATTTTAGCTCCAAATCAGTCCAAACTGAAAATGGGTCAGAGTGTTTTGTTGTTTTTTTTGGGGCAATGTAGAATCCACCGGAAGTCACCACAGGCCTTTGTGTGATCGTTTCACCGCTTGGATATTTTGCCAGCCTCTTCCTTTTCAAATGTGGCAGGTGAAAATATAACTCCCATGTGTTAAAGACCAAACTGATTGAACTGTTCTCTCTCCAAATTCCACCCTTTGTTTTACCCACAGCTCTTTTTTTATCGGCTCGGGTCTCTAGAGCTGCGAACAATGACAATAAAACTGTGCTTTTTACCCAGCTGCATTGTAAAGTCACCCTTGTTAGAAAACCCAACCACTCCAGCAGCAACGAAACGGCAAACTTCATATGAAGTTTTATGAAGTTGTTGACAACGATTCCCTCACTTATCGACAATTAACGCTTTCGTGCCACATGTTTTCTGTTTGTTTTGACATGCGCTGAGAACGTACGTCCGCTGTATGTATCCAGAGTGCTCGAGTCGTTCGATGCCACAGACCTTGTGTTTAAGTGCTTTGTATAGATGTTGTAAGCTATTAAATAATGGGTACGGCCCATGGTTTTAAAAAGAAGCAGAGACGGCACGCGCTCATATGAATGCGGACCGCATGGGGCAGTGAATGAAACATTCTACCATCTGAAGCTGCTTTGATTGAGGATATATTCATAATTTCATTGGCACGGTTGTTTTCTAAGCAACGCCCTTGAAAATGTGAAGAATATAACAGGCTCACTTTATCCAGAAAGTCCAATGGCCTTATGTGAAATTCCTCTTGTGATTTTTTTTTTTTTCTTTCTTCCCCCCTTCAATGTTTCATTGTATTTTCAATAGGCAGCAATAACAACATAACTTAAGCCACAGGACTTTATTGTTAAATCAATAAAAGTAATAATGTTGACAAGCTCTTTTCATTGGCCGCACTTGCTGTTGTTTGAGTGAGGGAAACATGACAAACAAATCATTCTTATTTATTTAGCGCATGTAATGCCTTGATTTGCATATTTCGTAGAAAAACGTTTTACTTTTCAGTCTTTAATATGAGGCTTTAATATAATTTGTATATAATTTGTATACATAGAAATGAAATGCAGACCTTTTCATTCAAAATATCTTGTGTTTTTCAGTAACAATGCGCTCAACGTGGTACAAATTGTTTTAATATTTTTCTTAAGTGGAGCACATTACATTACACTAATCACATTAGTGTAGCGTATTTCTACAACACATGATACTGTGAAATCTTTTGATATTATTGTTTCTACAGTTGCCAGAATTAATACGCTCAAACTTAATGTTGTTTAATTTAAGTATTCTTACGGATGCTAATTTGGGAATTTTAGAGGCCGATGCATACACTGTAAAAAATGATTTTTTGGTTAAGTAAATACTAGTGAAAAAACCCAATGTAATTTACTTGAAAAAGTTAGTTCAGGCAAGAATTTAAAAAACTAAGTAAATTCCATATCAGTACTTATTTCAAGCGAGTATAAATGAAAGTGTAATATCAACTCAATAAAATTAAGTAAAAATTACTCAACTTTTCTGATACTGGGGTTCCCATCATGCACTGGACCTTGAATAATTAATGAGGTTCATTTTTTACTGGTTTCCAGCTGTATTTACACTGTTTTATCATTGATTTTTGTTTTCAGTATTAGTAAATTGCCATTTTGTGACATTTCGAGTAAATTTTTTGCTTAAAACGACACATTCAAACACAAAAACGATCCATCAAATGTTACAACCATTGTGTATTGTCTACCAAGTATTGAGGTGTTTGCATTCACATAAGGCTTAAAGTCTGACATGATCTATATATATATATATATATATATATATATATATTACTTAGATGATTTAAGTAAAGAACATACTATAAATGACTAATAAAATTCAAGATAATTGTTTTAGTGAAGTGTAACACAAAGGCAAAGGAAATCGGTATTAATCAACCTTTTACAAGCCGAGTTAAAATTACTTATTTATTGTAAAGTTTACTTAATTCCACATTCCAAGTAAATTTAACTTAAAGATTTCTAATTAAAGCTACTGATAAATATGTTTAGGTTTTTACTTGGCAAATCTTTGTAAATTTACTAGCATTTTCTGAGTGAGATCGTTTAGCAAGGTTTTTTCAAGTAAATCCTACTCCAAATTTTTTACAGTGTAGTTTAATGTATACAACTCCAAAACGCACTTATTAATTGTGTATTATTTACAAACTCCTGCACCATAAATACCACCACGTGCTTCTCTATCAGGCTGGAAATAAATGGCTTTGGGTGAGGATAGGGTGGGGAGGGGGAAGTGGAAGTGCTTCATTTGGTCATAAATCGCACGACCCTCTGTCATCCAATCTCGGTGCAATGTCATTCAAAAACTCAGCGCTATCCATTACCGGGATATAATAGGCCCTCCAGCATGCATTGTCCATAGCATTATACACTCATAATTTCCCTCTATCAATAACTTTGAGGATAGAGAGTTTAAAGGGGGTTTGGGGTCACAAACTCGGGACAAGTTTTTTGGATGTTTCAGTAAGGTGAATCCTACAATCCTTATACCTCTTTATTATTTACTTAGTTAAGTAGCTTAAATATTTTATTTGGGTACTTTTTTGTAAAAACTTTGTATAAACAGCGCAAGACAGGAATAAAATAGAAACATTAATGTGAAATGAAACGGATTTGCGTCCATATTCATACACTGTTTCGGAGTCACAACAAAC